GCTGGGATTACAGGCACGCGCCACCATGCCCAGCTAATTTTTTGTAGTTTTAGTAGAGACGGGGTTTCACCATGTTGACCAGGATGGTCTCGATCTCTTGACCTCGTGATCCACCCGCCTTGGCCTCCCAAAGTGCTGGGATTACAGGCGTGAGCCACCGCGCCCGGCCTAGATTATTGATTTTCTTAATATCTGAAAAGTATTCCACTGTATGAGTACATTCTAATTTGTTAAACTCATTTACCACTAAAACCAATTTTCCACTAGATTCTTTCCTGGCTTGTTCATTTACTTATTCATTCATGTTTACATTTTTGGTCAACAACCATTTTAAAAACGCTGAGTATCTACTCATTAAAATATAATAAATAGGGAAGAGATAAAGTAAACGCTTGAGTATGGAATATGTGGTAGGTGCTTGTAGATACTTAAGAATAAATTCTCAACATAACTCTGGCAAGATACTCATTTTATAGCTGAGGCAAGTAAAATGTGAAAAGTCACAAAATTATTAGGAAAATAAGTAGAATTTAAGGACAAAGTGAAGCTTGGGTCCTTTTTACTTTCCTTCTCATGATGAATTAAGTATGAATTTTATTTAAAATAATTAAAATATTAAAATTTAGTGATGATATAGCAAAGCCAAATTGATTATACAAACTTATGTATAGACACAAAGTATGCATACTTTTATAATATTTATATGATTTTATTAAAATGAATGTTATGGAATTATGAAAATTGCATCATCTTTATTTTAGTCTTGCAGGAAAAAACCAAAATCAGTCTACAATCAGCTGGACAGGAGATTGTCACAGGAGCTTTTTAGAAGACAAACACTGTGATAACTTTTACTTTAAGATAACGTAAAACACAGAAAATATTTTTACCTGAAGACATTAAGAATATAAATAATATGGCTGGGTATGGTGGCTTACGCCTGTAATCCCAGCACTTTGGGAGGCTGAGGCAGGCAGATCACTTGAGGCCAGGAATTTGAGACCAATCTGGCCAACACAGTGAAACCCTGTGTCTAACAAAAATAGAAAAATTAGCCAGGCGTGGTAGTGGGTGCCTGTAATCCCAGCTACTCTGGAGGCTGAGGCAGGAAAATTGCTTGAACCTGAGAGGTGGAGGTTGCAGTGAGCTGAGATCATGCCACTGCACTCTAGTCTGAGTGACAGAGCGAGACTCCGTTTCAAACAAACCAAAAAAAAGAATATAAATAAGCTGTATTATATTAATATATATTAATTTCTTTTTTTTTTTTGGAGATGGATTTTCACTCTGTCACCCAGGCTGGAGTGCAATGGCACAATCTCAGCTCACTGCAATCTCCACCTCCCTAGTTCAAGCAATTCCCCTGCCTCAGCCTCCCAAGTAGCTGCGATTGCAGGTGTGAGCTACCATGCCCAGCTAATTTTTTTTTTTTTTTGTATTTTAAGTAGAGACAGGGTTTCACCATGTTGGCCAGGCTAGTCTTGAACTCCTAACCTCAGGCACTCCATCCGCTGGGATTACAGGCCTGAGCTACTGTGCCTGGCCTAAATATTAAACTTTATCAGATATATATGTATTGCCTCTTGAAATTGTGCCATAACTAAGTTTGTTTCCAAGAAATCTTCTTGAGACACTTCAAAGGTTCATTTATTGTTCTATTTTGTAGAATATAACTTATATTTGTTAGAATACTTTTATCTTAGGAAATTTAATATACTCACCTAAAAGGTATCCATACATAATTAATACCTATGGCTCATTGTTTATATTGGACCATCACTTCTACATAAGCGGTTTGATTTCTCTTATTGATGAAGCGTCAAACTTTGCAATTCACATTTATTTTAATATATGAAAATGAAATCTTGCTCTTGGCTCTTTATAACCTGTTACTTAATCTATAAATTCAAAGTGATTTGAAAGTAGAAAGCAGCAGAATAAGCAACTGAGAAAAGGAAGTAGATACATACCTGTTTTATGGCTTGTTGAGCCAAGAAAGCCATTTGTAGAGGGTTGGGCTTTATTGCTTGTCGTGGTATATTCTGATTTGGTGGATATCTCAGTTGTTGAGGATGAGGAGGAAGAACTGGTCCATTGGGTTTGGGGCTGTGATTCTGAAAGTTTATCAAACGTGGAGGGGGTTGCTAGAAAAAAACAAATTAAACGGATTTAGTAGCAATCTTCTGAAAAACAAATGATAAATCTCTCTTATAAAACTTTTACAGAAACACAGAACTCTGCCACAGATCAATGAATTACCAAGATTACAAGGGAATAAGGAATGGGGGATGGGCAGACTTTCAGAATTTGTGTAAACAACTTTTTAAAAATAATCTCATTAGGAAAGAACCTTGGGAGAGGGATTGCCACCTAAATTTTGTAAGTAGGTTGTACCAGAATTGGACCTAGGCCATGTTGGAAAGTAGGTAAAATATATCTTTGGTATCCTTCTAAGTCCTTCATGATTATCTTTCACCAAGAACTACACTCTTGAAACCTCCAAAAAAAAAAAAAAAAAAAAAAAAAAAAAAAAGTGATGGTAGAATTATAACTGCTAACATTTACTGAGCAGTTAAGTGCCAGGTACTGCTTTAAGTGCCTCACAGGTATCCACTAATTTAATCATAACAACAATATTTGAAGCACAGGTTATTTCTATTTTGTAGATAAGAAAACTATAATAAAGTACAGAAAATTTAGTCACTTGTCCAAGATTAACAGACAGTAAGGCATGAAGCTCGGATTTGAACAAGTAGTCTGGCTCAACAGGTCTACTCAAAAATGAACAAATCATTAATAATGAAAATAGCTGATGTTAATGAAACTTAATAAGCTTTAGATCTTACTGAGCCTGCCAGGCATTTCACATATTATTATGTCATTGAGCCTTATTAAGTAGGTATAATTACCTTTGCTTTGCAAAGTAGGAAACTAACAGTTAGAAAACATAGATAATTTGAAAAAAGTCACATAGCTAATAATATCAGGCATCACACCCAGGCTTTAATAAAAATCTAGTCTGCGGCTGCGTGCAGTGTATCACACCTGTAATCCAGGCACTTTGGAAGGCCGAGGTGGGCGGATCATGAGGTCAGGAGTTTGAGACCATCCTGGCTAACACAGTGAAACCCCATCTCTCTAAAAAAGTTTAGTCTGCCATATCATTATCAAAACATGTTAAGATACTGAGTAATTACAACTTTGAGGATGAGTCTCCTTAGAAGAAAACACATTTTCTGTTTTTTTTTTAATTTTTTTTTTTTTTTTGAGACAGCGTCATGTTCCCATCTCGGCTTACTGAAACCTCCACCACCTCACTCAGTTAAGCGATTCTCCTGCCTCCACCTCCCAAGTAGCTGGAATTATAGACATGCCCGCCATGCCTGGCTAATTTTTGTACTTTTGGTAGAGATGGGGCCTTGAACTACTGACCTCAAGTGATCTGCCCATCTCAACCTCCCAAAGTGCTGGGATTACAGGCGTGAACCACCGCGCATGGCCAGAAAACATATTTAAAAAAAAAAAAAAAAAAAAAACTCTTTAAGAACAACCCTGGTTGATTACAGAAGGCTGGGTGAAGGAATCACAAACAAGGCAAGGGCTAGTAAGGCAAGCCTACTCTGGGCTCATAAATACTAGCTCTGGAAATTGAGATCAGTCCTAGAAGAAAAAGGTAGCCTTATATGCCAGTCTCTTTTTGACTGATTCTTTCTACAGTTGGAAATGTATTGCAAAATAAATATTCTTTTTAGCATATCTTAACTGTATGATCACAGCTTCTCAAAGAGAAGCCTATTTCCCCCTACATTCATAGGGGGACAAATAAACAAGTAATTTTTAAGGTTGAAACAGCAACACCTGAAACTTGGAAACTGTGAAGGCAGACAGCTAATAAGTATAGTCCTATCTGCTTTATTATTTTTCTTTTTCCTCCCATTTTTGGAAGTTACTATCCTCCCCTGGGTCAACTGCTTCTCTCAAAAATTAGTTTCCACTGAGTTTACGTCTCATTAACTTTCAAGAGTAGCCAGCAATTACAGACCCAGTGAAAAACAGATTTAGATGCTGATTCTAAACAAGTGGAATTCTGTAGGTAAAGAGTAGAAAAAATTATTTTCTTAACCCAAAATGGTCCTTAAGGGAGAATAAAGGTAATCAAAGTCTTTTAAGTCTTTTACCACCTTCGTCCAGACTAATGTTTACATATTGACAACCAAGAAATGTCACTTAATGCCAGTGCAATGTGCTATGGTATGTAAGATGTTAACCATGCCATCAAGATGCTTATGGTCTGGTTAAGATGCAAGGAGATTATTCCCCCCACTCTCCTAAACTGTTATGGTTGCGTTAATGTCCAAGAATCCTGTGACAGGGGAAGCAACTTAAAAAATAAAATTAGGAAACAGTTAAAAACCTAAAGAAACAGCAAAATATATTATATATGTGACAGTGTTCTGTCACAAATTTAGATCCATTCAAGTTTAATGGAATATACTGTATAGAGCCAAATAAACAGAAATGTACGTCTATTGAGTTTGCCTCACTTAGTTATACCACTATTCTGCTTTTATTATTACCCAACTGTTTTAACCATGCAGATGACATGGTTAATCTTCAGAGGAAGAAAACAGAACTGTCCTGTAAATGATTTTTAGAAACAGTTCTTTTCAGTTTACCTGTATATATGGGCAGATGCAGAGTATAAATTGCATACACTCATAGTTACACAGACACACCTGCTGTGTGGCTATGCCTAGACAGGTATTTTTCCATATGTACTTACAAATAAGCTGGTAGAAAACTCAAACTGTAGGAGGGCAGGGCAATATACAAATTTACAGAAGAGAGACACCAAATAGTGAAGATGTATGAATGGGCATTTGGCAGAGGACAGATAATAATGAGTGATGAGAGGCTAGGGGCAGTGGCTCACAAGATCAGGCGTTTTAGACTAGCGTGGCGAATATAGTGAAACCCCATCTCTACTAAAATACAAAACAAACAAAAAAATATTAGGCGTGGTGGCAGGCACCTGTAATCCCAGCTACTCAGGAGGCTGAGGCAGGAGAATCGTTTGACACCCAGGAGGCAGAGGTTGCAGTGAGCCGAGATTGTGCCACTGCACTCCAGCCTGGGTGTCAGAGGGA